CTCTCTCTCCCTCTAAAAACAAACAAACAAACAAACAAAAAGATATGGTATACATTTGAGAGGAGATTCAGATATTCTTTTAAAACGTCTTCATTTGTGGGCGCCTGTGTGGCTCAGTTGGTTAAGCGACTGCCTTCGGCTCAGGTCATGATCCTGGAGTCCCGGGATCGAGTCCTGCATCGGGCTTCCTGCTCAGCAGGGATCTCTCTCTCTCTCCTGACCCTCTTTCCTCTCGTGCTTTCTATCTCTCATTCTCTCTCTCTCTCAAATAAATAAATAAAATCTTTAAAAAAAAAGTCTTCATTTACAAATTCAGAGTTGTTAACTTTCAGAATAGTAATATAAATATATATTTTTTAATTATGGGGGGAAGAAGGTGCTGATTGCTTCATGATCTAGGCAAGCAGAATTCTCAAGGGATATCCATTTCTTCTTTTAAAGAGTACCACCCAGGAAAAAAGATTTTCATGGAACAAAGGTGAAACTTAATGGAAAATAGAATCACATGGGAAGGGAAAAAGTAAAACTATATTCACAGATGACGTGATCTTGTATATAGAAAGTCCTAAAGAATACATACACACAGAAAAATATAAAAACTAATAAATAATTCAGAATACAAGATCAATATTGTGTTTCTATAAAATATGGACAAACCAAAAATGAAATTATGAAAACAATTGCATTCACAATAGTATTAAAAAGAATGAATTGCTTATGAAAAAGAAATTTAAGTGGAAGATTTATACACTGTAAGCTAAAAAACATCTTTGAAAGAGATTAAAGAAGATTTAAATAAATGGAAAGATATGTTGATGGATTGGAAGACTTAATATTGTTAAGATGGCAATACTCCACAAACTGATCTATAAATTTAATGCAATTCCTATCAAACTCCCTGCTGAATTTCCTCTCTGCAGAAATTGACAAGCTGATCCCAAAATTTATGTGGAAAGGGACCCAGAATAGCCAAAACAATCTTGAAAACAACAGGGATGCCTGGGTGGCTCAGCTGGTTAAGCATCTGCCTTAGGCTCAGGTCATGATCCCAGAGTCCTGGGATCAAGCCCTGAATCGGGCTCCCTGCTCGGCAGGGAGTCTGCTTCTCCCTCTGCCCCTCACCCCACTTCTGCTCTCTCTCTCACTCTCACTCTCTCTCTCAAATAAATAAATAAAATCTTAAAAAAGAAGACAAAAACCAAAATTGGACCACTCACACTTCCCAGAACTCCCTACAAAGTACAATAGTCAAGACAGTGTGATATTGACATAGGATAGACATATGGATCAATGGAATAGAATTGAGAGTCTAGAAATAAACCCTATATTTGCTGTTAATGGATTTTCAACAAACGTGCCAAGATAATTCTATGAGGGAAAAGACAGTCTTTTCAAGAAGTGGAACTGAGACAACTGGATATCTACTGCAAAAGAAAGAAACTGGACTCCCTACTTCACACCATACAAAAATGAACTCAAATGTATCAGAGACCTAAACACGTGGACTAAATATATAAGTTTTGTAGGTGAAACATAAGTATAAATCTATGTGACCTTGGATGAGGCAATGGTTTCTTTTTTTTTTTTAAGATTTATTTATTCATTTTAGAGAGAGAAAGAGAGAATGAGGGTGAGTGGAGGGAGGGGCAGAAGGAGGAGAGGGAGAGAATCTCAAGCAGACTCCCCACTGAGCACAGAGCCCCATGTGGGGCTTGATCTCATAACGCTGAGATCATAATCTGAGCTGAACTCAAGAGTTAGATGCTTAATTGACTGAGCCTCAGCAATGGCTTCATAGACATGGCATCAAAATACAAAAAAGAAAAGAAATAGATAAGTTAGACTTGATTGAAATGAAAAATTTTTGTACTTCAACGGGCATTATTCCAAAAGTGAAAAGACAGCACATGGGAATGGGAGAAAATATTTGTAGATAGTATATCTGATAAGGGTTTAGTATCTAGAATATATACTCAATGATAAAGACAAATAACAGAATTAAAATATGGGCAAAGGATTTGAGTAGCATTTCTCCAAAGGAGATACACAAATGTTCACATGGTGGTAGATAGGTGTCCAACAGCAAGAGAGAAGTTCTGTTTTAAGATTTTATTTATTTATTTGACAGAGAGAGTGAATGAGAGAGAATGAATGGGGTGGGGAGGGACAGAAGCTGACTCTCTGATGAGCATGGAGTCCGCTGCTGCTGTGGGGCTGGATTCAGGACCCTGGGATCACCACCTGAGCCTAAGGCAGATGCTTCATGGACTGAGCCACCCAGATGCCCCAGAACAAGATTTAATTTACAAGCACATGTCAAGCCTGCACTTTGGTCACATTTGTCAATGCCTCATTCACTAAGGACAGACCCATGGCCAACCCCAGAATTATGGACTTGGAAAAATTTTAAAAAACATAAAAAATATAAAATAAATAAATATAAAATATAAAACATCTCTTGATGGAAGAAACCACAAATTATTGTGATAATTTTGTTTTTAATCTACTATTCATATGTTCCCTTCTGCCAGTTTATGCCTATTGTTCTTAAGTAATTGTTTATCTACTCACATCACTTTCAAAAGGGATTTAGTTTAATTGATAATTATGTGGTCTTATATAACAAAATGGGCAGGAGACAGAAGTTCCTTGGTATAAATCCCATGTGCCTATCACTTATATTAAGAAATGAAATACTACCTAAACAGAGGAAGCCCCCACTGTGCCCCTTCCATATCAAAACCCCTCTCTGTCCTCTCAAAGGGAAAGTACTATTTTGAATTTGGGTGTATATACCCAGTACTAGTAATTGATATGGGAGAAGAGGAAAAGATTCACAGTAAATCTGTTTAAAATCAGGACCAAAAATGTATGGTAACTAGTGGGAAAACAAAAAGATTTATGATGTCTTGGAAAATATTTATCAAATATAAGGTTTATTTATTATAAGATCTTACATCTATAATTATAGCTATGTGCTTCGTCTTAGAACAAGGAAAGAATCAAATGTTGATTGAAGAGGCAAAATTATTGTTTGGCAAAATGTAGAAGAGTTGTTTGTAATAGGAGAACATGGGAGCAACTTAAATAAACTCAAGGAGAATGGATAAATTGTGATATGCCTACACAGACTAATGGAGCAGTGAATTAATGAATTAGAACACATATTCACATGGCTAAATCTCACAAACTATACTGTGACAAGCCAAGTTGCCAATGAATACATAAGCAATGATATTTTACGTTGTTAAGAAAAATCATCCAAAATTTGGAAATAAGGCAGAAGAACAGCTGCATTGTTTAAGAGACCCACCTAAAGCCTCTTTGATTCTCTAGGGAAATGATCTTTTGTTGGGTTTACCACTTAACTGGTGCTCAGGGCAAGATTCTATGTGCTTAGATGAACATTCAAAATTGAAAAGTTGCAAATGTTTTTTTTGTCAAGTAGACATAAATTATTTTGGTCGGATAGAAAACATCACTGCAAAACTTATGGTTTTATTGTCCGTTAGAACAGTAACTAGTATTATATTTAATTTTGCAATCTAACTTCCACGTTCTGTCTATCTTTGACTATAAATTCTTCAGTCTCTCCTGTATTCCTTTAAACAGCTGTAACACTTTGTGGATTCCCTCATTATATAGGATAAATTCGTCTTGACATTTGCTCATTTTATATTTGTATGAGTCATAGTTTTAAACTTAAAAATCATACTTTGACAATATAAAATGAAAAACATGCAAAACACTGTTATGTATGTTGTGTGTGTTATATATACATACACGTGATAACAGTATAAAGAAGAGCAAAGGAATAATAAACACTAAATTCAAAATAGCAGTTTCCTTTTGAGGGGGTAAAGAGGATATGATGTGGAAGGGACACAGAAGGGAATTCATGTATTTTGGTAATGTTTTATTTCTGAATCCAGTTGTAGGCACATGGGTTTTGTTCTTTTATCCTTTATACCGTTATAACAAAATGGATGTTTATAATAAAAGTTTTAAGTTGTATGGGAGCACAATAGAGCCTCCTTTCTTCGATGGTTTATGCAGCGGTCAATTCACATTGCATGTATTCCGTGTTATCCGATGTGTACCGTAGCTAACACGTTGTTTGATGTATATTGATTATCCAAGGCATTTGTACTATATTATCTGATTCCTTGCATAATTTTCCAGTTTTATTGAGCAATAATTGACATATATCACTAAGTTTAAGATGTACAGTACGATGGTCTGATTTACATATATTGTGAAATAATTATTGCAATAGGTTTAGTTAATATCCATCATGTCATCTAGATACAACAAAAAGAAAACCAAATTTCTCCTTGTGATGAGAACTCCTAGGATCTACTATCCTACCAACTTTCCTGGATGTCACACTGCGCTTATAGCGAAAGTCATCCTGCCGTAGCTTACCTGCCTTGCACTGGAAGCTTGTACCTCTTGACCACCTCCAATACCCTCTCCCCATCTTCTGTATGATTTTATGACAGGGAGAGATTATTCATCAAAGCTTTTAACTGGATGAAAGGAAGTTAATGATACATAGATGGGATGTTTGAGTGGGACCATTTTTGTAAGTGATCAGGGTGTTTGTGCATATTTTTCTGTTATAAAAACTTCTGTTTCTGCATGCAGAAACTGTGACTTAAAAAGCAAAAACTAAATAGTGAAAATCATTAGTATGGTAGACATTATATTTAATCTGCAAAACACCTTTGTAAAATAGATCTATTATTTCCATTCTCCATGTGATGAAACTGAGGTGCAGAGTCACTGAATTAGCCATTCAGGAGAAATAACAAAAACGTCCAACCTTCTTGCTTTTTAGCAACTCCTTCCTTCAGGGCTTTAGCGAGTTGAAAAGCAGAAGCATAGGAATTGACATTTCTTGGCTTTTGTAAGAAAATGTGTTGGTGGGTGGGGGTTGGTCTGGCGGATGGGAGGGGTAACTTTAGTTAGGGGAAGGGAAAGGAGATAAGGGGAGGGACGGACGGAGGAGGGGGAAGGGCCGGGGAGGGAAGGATTTCTCACCATCTTGGCCACGTCTGGGAGGGGAAAGGCTATGTGGTTTCTGAGGAGGAGCCACCTTACATATTTAAATACTAATTAGTAATTAACCCACCAATTGGAAAGAGTTAATGCCACTTAAAAAAAACAAATACTCACTCACTTGGCTAATAATTTGCTTATACAATGGGAAGATTGCTTCCATGGTGGGCTTTCTTTTTCCTTGCTGTAAGAAGGAAGGAGTGCCCTAATTTGCTCCTACCTTCTCTTCTGCCTACATTAGTGGTTCTTGGTCTATAACCACAAAAAATTTCACAGGAGCGGGGCGCCTGGGTGGCTCAGTTGGTTAAGCGACTGCCTTCGGCTCAGGTCATGATCCTGGAGTCCCTGAATCGAGTCCCGCGTCGGGCTCCCTGCTCAGCAGGGAGTCTGCTTCTCCCTCTGACCCTCCCCCTTCTCATGCTCTCATTCTCTCTCTCAAATAAATAAATAAAATCTTTAAAAAAAAAAATTTCACAGGAGAAATGATGGAATTTTAAATAAGAGAAAAAGCAAGTGGCCTACTTTTGAATAATAAAAGTTTATAAACCTACACTGAACACCCCCAGATGGGAATAAGCATGCAAAAAAAGTGCTTGAATAAACCTATGATGCTTGTAAAAGAGAGATTTTGACCTCTAACCAGAATACTATTGAAACCCTGGAAAATAATAATTATTTACCTTCCCACAGGTAATCCTGACATTTCTGGCATCTGGCATGAAACTGGAAACATTCTGACAAATTCTGGCCAAGTTCTCCACACGGTCCTCTGTCTTGCACAGGCAACACCTTTGAACTTAGGCTTCCATGGTTAGAATCTGCAGGTAACATAGTGTTTGCACATAAATGTTATTAGAGTCTGCATTTTAAAGGCATGAACATGATGTCATTTCTTTTTCTTACCAGTTCTTTTAAAATCTTTCTGTCTTCAATCATAGGAGGGCATATTGTGGCAACCATTTGCTAGGACAATTTGACATCTATTAAAAATTGCATATATTCTTTGATCCAACAATCACATTAACTATGATTATTTGTACACTACCCACCCCCGAAAAGTTAATGCATATAATTTTATTTTCTGGAAGAAATCATGAGGAATCTTTTGCAAGAGATACTTGATGGGGTGAGAGAGGGCAGCTTTCATTTGTTTATTCTTTTATATATTTGAACTATTTTAAATTTAGTGTGTCTTATTTTTATTATTATTTCTGATGTCAATGGATTAAATAAGGGATTGTAGGCCACTTTTTTTTTTGGATTTCTTTCTATTTAAAAATTTTCTAATAATTATTTTAATTTTTTAAAGCTATAATTGGGAAGTACATTAGAGCTTCAAAGGTACTGGGAATGTCTGTTTCTAAAGCTGGGTGGTAGGCATTTACTTTCTTACTATTCCTTTTGCATTTCATATATATATAATGTTATGAACAATGGGTCAAAGATTTAGGAAAACATCTAAAGCTGATCAACTTTTGAGAAACCCTTTTCTTTTTCTGGAAGAATTAAAAATTCAAATGAAAATGATGATGTAAAAAAGAAGTCTGTCCAACAGAAAATTGACAGTTCTCAACTGAGCGTTTGACATTAGGAAACACTTATTATTAATTTACAACATTTTAAAATGAAACATTTCATTTTGAGATGAATTGTGAAGTCTGTTGCTTAAAAACTGGAGGCACTGGTTAGATCACGTGGTGTGTAAGGTAACCGTCTCCTTTTGTTGAATAGAAAGTCGTGGCCTCCCAGCTGCCTCCCTGAACTGTCCCCTGTCACCCCCCAGAACCCCTGTGAGGTGTTCTGCTGTAGAGCTTGTCTCTGCTTTTTGTACTGTTTGCTTTCTTTTCTTGTCTGTTAGACGCCTCCCCCGCCCCCATTGAGGGAAGGGATTTGGCCTTGTCATTTGAAATCATGCCATTCTTCTGTACCTTCTTCTGTCATTTTTGCTTACAATATGGTAATGGAGGTAATGTAATTGTCCAATGATCTGTTTTCCTTTCTCTGGACTGAGTTCCTAAAAGGGACTGTGTCATAATCATTGTCTTATTCCCAGCATCTGTATAGATGTATAGGTGTATAGATCAGGGATGGCAAATTCCAGGACCATCCGATACCAATTGCTCATCCTGTGCATGGCAGTAACCCATCACAGAACCTCCAGACCCCTCTAGGCAGCTACCTCTGGTGCCGTCACTCTTATAAACCATCTACTCTCCCCACCTGCCTCTGTCTCCCCACCCCATTCAAAGGGAAAATTAAAGTCAAAATGCTCCCTAAGATAGGATTAGAACTCATATCTCCCAGCATCTAGCACTGCACCAAGCTACCACACCATGCAGATTTATTGAACACGATCTTCTCTAACCTTTCCAGGGATTTATAAAGCAAGAGAGGACAACTACAAGAGCTATTTTATTCTCTTTCAACAGATTCTGGAACTGAAGTTTAGAAAGACCAAAGTAGGAAAGAAATTCTCCCATATGAAGACTAAAATGAAACCCACACTCAATCAAATAAAAATATTAAAAACCGAAATATTTCAGATTTTTTTCTAAGTAGGCTCCATGCCCATCGTGGGAGCCCAACATGGGGCTTAAACTCACAACCCTGAGATCAAGACCTGAGCTGAGATCAAAAGTTGGATGATTAACCAACTAAGCCACCCAGGTGCCCCAACGTTTCAGATTTTTTTATTATCGCCTCTTTTCTTTTAATGGTGTTCATTATTCAATTTTAGCTATTTTTCTAATTTTAGCTCTTAGGACAATCATGACAAATAAAGCCCATCCATGAAGGTTGTCAGATACACAGCGCTCACTCAGTCAATGTTGGCCATTGTAACTGACAAGAGCCTTGTATTAGTTCCCTGTTGCCATTGTAACAGATTACCTTAAATTTATTGGCTCAAAATAACACCAATGGTCTTCTGGTTCTGTAGCTCAGAAGTTTGAAATGGGTCTCACTGGCCTAAAATCAAGGTGTCGGCAGTGGGGTTTTTTTTCTGGAGGCTCTAGGGAAGAATCCATTTCCTTGCCTTTCCAATTTCTAGAGGCCAACTCTAGGCCTTGGCTCCTGGGCCCCTTCCTCCACCTGCAAAGCCAGCGAAGTAGGGCCAAGTCCTTCTCATGCTACCATCTCTATAGATTCTACTCTGCCTCCCTCTTCCACTTCTAAGAACCCTTGTAGCCACATGTATAATTCAGAATAATCTCCCCATTTTAAGGTCAGCTGACAAGCAACCTCAATTCCATCTACAACCGTAGGTTCCCCTTGCTGTATAACACAACATATTCGCAGGTCTTGAGGATTAGGGTGTAGATATCTTTGGGAAGCTATTATTCTGTCTACAAAGGGGCAAAGCTCAAAATGTCCTCCCATTAGGCAGATTTTCCAGGAGCATTAAGTTTATTGTTCACCTACCACCTGCCCCTACTGCCCCTGCCTGACTATTCTTGATAAATAGTCCACAGGTGCTCATCGGAGAAGAGACTGTCTCCTCTGTGGGGCTAGCTGGGTGCTGTCTGGTTAGGGGAGGGATAGCAGAGGAAAGGCTTTTTTGTTTTTGTTTTTCATATTTGTATTTACATTACCTTTGCATTACAGGGGGCTCTGGATATGCAGGTTATCATCAAGGTGGAGGTTGTGCAGAGGGCCAGCTGAGCAGGGGCTGGTTCTGGGCTGTGAGAATGGGGAGGAAGCTGAGGCAGAACAGGTGGAAACCTACATTCTTAGTCGGTGGGGTGGGAGGGAGTTGCAGTGATTAGGAAGTTATTTCGACTTCAAAGTGGATGGATCACTATATACTCCTGTTTACGTTTGAATGTAGCAACCCACATATAAGGTTGTATGCAATGTGAAAGATGGAGGGGGCATTATTTTATTCTAATGAACACATTTGGAATATTATCCCCAAACAATTGATATCTATTTAAAAATTCAGGCAAAAATTATTTAATATCACCCCATTGATGTATTTAGTCTACTGCTTTGATGCTTTTCCTGAATATTGGAAATCTTAGAATAGAATACCAGAGAAAACACCTGACTTACAAGAAAGTCTTCCAGACCCTGAAACAGAACCCAGCAATGATTCCAGTAATGATGGCTGTTCTCTGCTCATGGAACAATGGGATGGGAAAGATGTCATGCGGTGTTTTTTGGCTTCAGTTTCTGGTACTGTGAGGTAGGTCCCTTCTATATAGAGACCAGTGATGCAATGTAATGGTAATTTTGACAATTTAGTTCAGATGTTGCCAGGTACAGCTGGTATAATGGAGAAATAGCTAGAAGGAGCCCATTTCTTTCTACATACAAAAAGCTGTGTGTAATTAATATATACAACTTGGAGAGTTTGGAGAGAAGTATAAACCCATGAAACCATCACCATAATCTATGCCATAAATCTATCCATCACTTCCAAAAATGTTCTCTTGCCTTCTTATTTATTATTATTATCATCATTAGAATGCTTAACATAATAAAATCTACCCTCTTAGGAAATGTTTAAGTATACAGTACAGTGTTTTTAACGATAGGCGCTATCCAGCACAGTTGGACTTATAAGTTTAGGACTTACCCATCTTGCATAACAGAAACTTTGTACTCTCTGACCAACATCTCCCCGTTCCCCCTTGACTCAGCTCCCAGCAACCTCATTCTACTCTCTGCTTCCATAACTTTTGACTAGATTCCTCATATAAGAGGTATCATATAGTATTTGTCCTTCTGTGTGTGGCTTGTTTCAGTTAGCCTAATGTCCTCCAGTTTCATTCATGTTTTTACAAATGGCAGGATTTCTAGAAGGAGCCCACATTATTTTTCATGTCAGAGGGGGGTATTCTTTTCTGTAGGCTTAAGGTCCATAAAATCTAAGTCTAAGGAAATGTAGACCCTACCTTGGCCCACCCAGCAGCTCTCATTTCTGAGATGCTGTGTCCCAGCCACTCCACAGAATCCCAAGGAAGGTAT